TGTTCCATAACAACTGACGCTGATTGTCACTGGAATTCATGCACGCACAGATGAATAATTAACAAAGAGGGCGTACCGAAGTCCCGCCCAATTTCCCACTTCTAAAATTAACCAGACGATATACACAGTACGCCTCATTTATTTAGCTGTAAACACGTGTTTGTATCCCATATGAGAATAGCAAACATTCTATCAGGGAACAAATTACTTACGTATGATGTGTTTTAGAATACAAGCACAAATGAAACCCTAGATAAACCAGTCTAAGACTGGCCCAATCGTGCCAATGTGTTGCATGTAGAACCAAAACATGTTATATCTTCTTATGAGAAAAATAAATTCATTTGGATTGGTTGCCTAGTTTGCCTGCCGTCTTTAATAATTTTTGGCACAACAGGCCCTAAATTCATTTATTCATTCAATTCATTTGTTCAAAATTTTTGTTTTGACTCGTTGATCTGAAATGCTGTATGTATGGGCAATTAGTTGTGACCAGATGACATGTGATTTTACGAAAAAATACTTTATTTTTTATTTGTTTGTTAACTTTATCATTAAATAATAAAAATACATAGTAAAGATAAAATATATAAAGTTAAATTAAATTCACGCCGTACAATAGGTTTTGATGAATCAGTGAAAGTAAAATTCATACAAATCGTACAAATAAAACATGGTACGTAGCGAAGATTTGTTTGTGATTCATGAATGTATAATTTATAATATCACCGATGTATGGTATTAGTGAGGGCATATTATATAATTGATTAAATAAAAATGTTAAAATACATGTATATTAAAATCATAAATACAATCATCCAATGTTCACATACCATTCATTTTCTGAATCAATGACTTCGAATACGTCCATCAACATCTACCAAATAAATCGACACGACACATATAATAATGTATGAAATAAGAGTTTTGAAATGATGACGTCACAGGGTGTCACGTGACGTGTGGATTGTTTAACTTTGTCCGGGGTGAAAATCACGGGGCCACAGGAAGGGTGCGTGGATTATATTCATTGCATTTGGAAAATGTCTAGTCTACAAAAAGAGCAGGAAAGACGAGGGGTGGGAGATTCATTACATAAAGGTACATGATTCACAAAATAAATATAATTTAAAAAAATTAATAACCACGACATATCGTGTCGTGTGACAAACATATTTTGTCCAGTGGGAAGACAGATGAAGTATCACTTAAATCAGTATCTCCATGACAACCAACCAAATTTAAAGAATACATGACTCATTTTCTCGTCTATATATATATATATGTTTTTATAACTGAACTTTACCGAATGAATTACGCACAGATAGGTACATATTGTAGTACTGTGTACTGTGAAACATTTTCTTTATCTTTAGATTTAATTTGAAAAAAACAAACATCAATATACAAGCGACAGTAAACCGGTGCCCTATAGATTGACTATTTTGGTTACACCAAGTTTTAATCTTCGGACCAATCATATGAACGATCTTAGCAAAATTTTATGAAATTCGCATGTTCAGTTGAAAGGTGTGTGAGCCATATTTACCATTGAAGCATCGATCCTAATACAATTTCGTTATTTGCAAACACGAGGTGTCGCAATGACCACAGCTTTTTATTAATTAAAGTATTGCTCGATTTTTCAGTATAAAGAGTTAAAGGACGGTGGTCGTCGCGCCGCGTCCTGTTTGATATGGTACTCATAGCGACGTATACAACGCATGTAAAATACATTGTTACATTTACATGAAATTCGAACACGCGCTGCGCGACGACCACTGCGCTTTAAAATGAAATGCAATAACGCATTGGCGAATCATGTACGACAGGAAGATCTACTTCTACTCAACGGAAATCTCAATTTGCGTTCAGTTACAAAACATTTTGGCCCATTTGACATTTTGATCTTAAACTGTATTCAGAATGATAAAATAATGTTCGCATTATTTTTACACAAACAAAGCGCATGTGCTACCCGAAAACGGGATTGTCCAGAATTCATCAACATAATATTGACGTAATGAGCATGCGCAATGAACGATTGTGAAAAACAGCATAAAGTGAAATGTTGCACTGACACAAAGCTTTCAGATGTTTCTTCGTTTTTCAGTGGTTTAGTGTAATTAGAGGCTTGCAAAAAAGCAAATGTTTCTGGCCAATTTGTTTTCTAAAATCAATGCACGTTGTTTAAATTGCTTTTATTTTAACATTACAATGGAATAAGCGTTTTGAATTTTCAAAGTATAATGTTCCCGCTTACTGTCTCCATACATTCATGGAGAAAAGGATGAAGGAATACGAAATCGTGCGATCGGACGAAAAACTGTGGTGTATACAATTTCAAACAGACTCAATGATCAGAAACATAACTATTTTTCATCTGGACTGATATCTGGCAGCTTTATTATTTATACTCGTGTACTCATCTTTAGAAAATTGCAGGGACCCGGCGCATCGGCTCCAGCTTTAGGTATAACACTTCTCAAGTTATTACATTAGTCTACAGAATGTACAGTGCGACTTGTAAGTCTTCTTAGTCACCAAATCTCATCTGGCCTGACATGTAGACCCTCGCCGACAGAACGGCATCATACCTTTCTTTATTGGGTTTGGAGCACCGCGGAGGGCGCAACTCAACAGGCTAAATATCATTTTAGCTTACCACACTAGATGGCGCTCTTTCAAATTCCTTACGTCAACACAATCCAACAAATTAATTTTGTGTCATCTATACATTTCTAAGCCATTTTTGAAAACTTGAAACTCATTCGAGCATTTTATAAAATTTGTAAATAAGACAATGACTTTCCTTTTTAAGTACTGATATTTTGAATGTGTATCGGGATATTATAACGACAATAAGTGACTGTGCTGTCACAGCTTTTAGCACTGAAGGCTCCTTGAGCTGCATTGATTCAGTTCATTTTTGTAGGTCATGGCCATCAATTTACCATTTCAGAGTCTATTATAGTATGTTGTTATTTTTTGTTTTGTACACAATTATTCCAAGATAACAGGCTATTGAGTGTAATATCCCTTAGTCTATGCTTCTTTTTGTACAAGTGCTTGTACCAGTTCTACACTTTGAACTGAATTTCTTGGATTGCAAAACAAGTTAACATGTGCGAGCCTCCATGTTGTCTTGGATTGGAGCGGAAGATAATTGTCTGTGTACAACATATGGTCCTAATTGGACAGAATTAATTTTGAGATAAATAAGCAAAAAATAGACAAATTGGCTGCCAGTCAACTATCGCAGTTTAGATTGCTATACAAACTAAAACACAATTGTCTGTGAATCAAGTATAGACACTATAATATACCTTGTACCTAATGCCTGGCCAGTAACACTATGGGAAGTGCGACCTCACATCGGGGCAATAATTTCCCATATCATGCCAGGCTTTCATCAATCAAAACAAAACGCGCCATTCAAATTTATGTTGTGTGCTTGAAGTCATGCTGTGGTAAAATTGTAAAAACATCAACAAGGTATATGATAAAACCTTTAGGCAATGCAAACTGTGCAAAAAAGAATGAAAATTGCTGATTTTTAGCAAACAAAATGGCTGTCATTTTACTATCTTGGATTGGGTCGCAACAAAAATCAACTTGAAATGTGAAATAACAAATTGTCTCCATACTGAATAAACTATGTTATAAGGTATAAGCAAAAAATGATCAAAAACAAGTATTTTTGATGTACAAAATGGCAGCTAGTTTGATTTTACAATTGAGTAACTCAACATTTTAACGATAACTCAACATTTTAGAGAAAAGTTTGTTACATGTAAATGGCCTTTCAATTTTAATCTACGGTACTTTGCATTTTTAGAAGTACCAGATTGCAGTTCCAGATATTGAACTATCATAACACTGTCATCCAGTAAAAATTGACTGAAATGTGATCAGTTGCATCATGAAATTATTATTACAAAGACATGAATGTATGATTCAATGTTTTATTAATTATTTCATGCATGCTAACTCTAATGAAACCATAGTAATCTAGAAATACATCTTCAAACATGTAATAAATATTGATAAATTATTAAAATACTTGCAGTAGAACAAAACAAAAGTAAGTTAAATACTGAGCTGAAATGAATAGAAGGTATAATGTTAGGATGTACAAACAATGCTCATGTAAACAGCACCCAGCCAGCTGAAAAATTGATTTTTTTGGACATTTGAATTCTAGTTATTTATCTATATAGGCCGTCGCACAGTGGCATCATATGTTTACATTTTTGCCAACCAGCATGCAAATGTGTTATTACAAATGTTACTTGCTGACACAGACTTGTGATCTGTTGTGATGAAATTGCCCATAAGTTGTTTTATTAGCAGGAACACATGAATATTTAATAACAGCAGTGAACACCATTATTTTATCTTTGAGTGCAAACAACTGGTTCTTCCCAACCAGTCACTGCACATGTGTACCCTCGCAGAATGGAAACAAGTGTGACAGCCTATAGGCCAGGCGACTAGGCACACTATCCTGTGTTTAGTAATCATTTGTACAATAAATATGATTCTGGCTCAGTATAACATAAATACAAAATACATTTAAAAATTGGAAATAGACAGTCTTTAAAGTGTTCACTGAATGACAGGAAACAATTTAATAAATACTCATAAATAACACACACATATATATATACATACTTTTATAAATCTATTATGATTTAGGGTTAAAATGTCAGCAAAAACACTGCTACAAAAGTCATCAAAAGCAATTCCTATAGAGCCTTGACAAATCGTCAGATATTTTTATACAGTTTTTCTTCACTTTTTATATAGATAGAGAATACATAAGAGAATGTTATTTATATACCTTCAAAAAACAAAAGACATACAATAAATGAGCCAGTAAACAATGCATTGATTGGCATTTTAAAATTACTTTTTAGTAATAAAAATCACCTAATATGGTTCAATATTTTTAACTAACTATCTTCAGGATATTATCCACTGTAAAGCTTTCATCAGAATTAGTACCGTGATATAGGTTTAGGTATCATGCTGTCAATTCGCTTTCCTTTTTCTAGTTGTTTTTCCAATTTAATCAGCAAATCAACTCCGTCAATAACACGCTGTACCAGTTGAACCTGCATTAACAAATTACAAATAATTGTGAGTCACTGCTACCAAAATGTTTTACCCAACTGTTTTGTGAAGCAACCAAGTTAAAAAAAATGGTGATAATAAGCACATTGTTATGTCATGACAAATGATAATGTGGTTTATCCATTTTTGAATACACTGCAGCTGGAGAACGATAAGTAATGGTTTTCTTTGGCACCAAACAAATTGGCAACAAGGGTTGTATTGTTGTAAGTTACTACATGTGTATTGATATACATGATTACATCTGTGCATAATGTTTCAGTTCTAGTTCAATCCTTTGTACATGAACTGTTTGTAAGGGGATCAAGGCAAATTGTGGGAAAGGGAATTGTGTTGGGGGAAAAAACTGTCAAGTGTCACATAACTGGAAGAAGATCCATCACTACAAAAGATACCAGGTAAGTGATCTTTTTGTATGTTGTAGGGGTTAATAAAGCACTGCTAATTCTGTCCCTCTCCCTTCTCCTTGAAAGAATTAGCTATAGCCTAGGGACATTACGATTTACAGTTACTAAGTGCGCAAGACACAAACATTAAAAGAAACATGAAAATCAGAACAGCTAAGCAAAGCAAGCTGATTGATTTCTTCAGTAGGAAATTAGACTATTAAAAACTGCTGCTGAACATGAACTTTACTGTACAAATCCTCAAACATTTAATTTTCGATATTAATCATTATTGTGCAATGATTTTTGTGAAATGATTTTGATTTACAAAAAACAATTTAAAATTGAATAAAAATCAACATTTTTATTTGTACTAAAGTGTTTGGATACTGTGTAAAGTAGTGTGATAGTGTGTGTGAAATGGAGTTGCGCGATCTGTCTTAATACATTGATTCAATGCCTAATTAATATTCATGAATAAATTAGAGAACCTGTCTTATAAAGGCCAAAAATCCCCTGGGTGGCCACTTTAGACAGGTTTGACTGTATGCTAATTTAGGAGTTATATCCTTCTTTTCTTGCCCATGAAAAACACATGGCAGATATAATTTCTTATTGAGTGTTAGCATATGGCCAGAAACTATATTTAATTTAACCTTTTCACCATTAGACTTTCTCATTTTCTGCACTTTTTTCATATATTCTTTCATATTTCTGGAAATGAGCCTTAATATCAGACATAGGATATTTTGTCCCAATCTTCTGAAGGAAAGAGCAGCCTGTAAATGGGACTATGCTATGGATTTGTAATGAAAAGAGGGAAGTTAACTAATCAATAAGTTTGTCCTGTGAAAAAGTGAGAGCAGACTGTATTACTGTTAAGCTATTTAAAGCAAGGCGTTCATGATTGTTTTCATTTAACTCTTAATTGTTCTTTGCATTTAACACAATTAAATCAAGCATTTTAATTTGATTGTAAAATATCAACTGTTTGAGATGCCTATTTCATAACTAAATGATGGCCTTCAGCTTTTGCCTAAATTAGAACGAATGACACATTAATTAGAATACACATAGCAACCAGTGAGCTCTCTAAGCTGATATGACACACATTTATGCTAATTCAGTGGCTTGTCATTGACACAACAGAAACATACACTAATATTGAAAAACTTCCTACTATAGTTACAGAATTTGTAATTCTTATTTTTTTGTAGAAATGAAGAAATTAGGGGCCACATTGACATCATCTACACAGTCACATACAATTTTATTTTTGTGTGTGGAAATTTCAGTCCTGTTAAAGAGCACACTCAAGGTAACTATGACATTTGGAACAGTGGACACAATCCGAAAGAATGGAGCACTATATAAGGGGAAGAATCAAGTCACATATTCTAGAAAGAAATGAATGAATGAATAATGGAATCAGCAGGTGGTCTTATTTAATAAATTATTATGGATTTACCTCAGACTGGCCAAGTCGATCCATGTTTGAGATGTCAAAGGTATCACCCTCAGCTGCAGTATCAACACCACCAGTACCTCGTTTCTGAAGACGCAGATTGTCCAAGATTTCGTCAAGACGAGGGTGCTATAATCATAGTTAAATTAAACAAACAAAACTTGAGAAATTGTATTATCATAAGTTATATCATACGATAATAACCAAGTAAATGTGTTGACTAGTTTCATACATTATATCCTTGTAATAACATAATCTGTATTTATAAAACTTCAAAATCTCTACTTACAGAACTAAATTATTAATGACTGGAAACAGGTCTTACCTTTGACAGTTTTGGTATTCTAACATGAACACCTGCACGTAATCCTGTACCTAAGTTAGATGGACAGGTTAAAATATAGCCAAGATGTTCATTCCACATGAATTCCCATCCTTTATCTTGAATAGCTTGTTCAACCTAAGTGGTAACAGATGTAACAAAAATGAGCCATTGAGAATGTCAGCATTTATATTTACTACATTCCTAAGGGCTACATGTACTATTTGTATGCTGTGACTTAAATGTCTCGGACTGCAAGTCAAGAATATGTTACATATTTTTGTCATTGACAGCACAATTCTTGTGTGCAGCAGGACACTCAAATTGCGGTTCAGAAATGCATTTCATGACACCATATTGCAAAAAATAATACCCATAGAACAATATTTGATCAGAAACATTTTTGTTTGTAAGTAAGCCTCTAAAAATATGAATACCCTGTGAATTACCATATCACATTTTTTTGACCAGTGTAAATTTCAAACTAGTCAGCCATATTAGATAGGGTCTGGTTGAAATTCAAATGGTATCCTTGTAAAATAATACATTGCCTGTCTATGTACCAATAAACTTAAAGTTAGTGATTGTATTCTCAAGTTATGAGAAAGAATTACAGCAAGTCTCAGAAGTATTGGGGCAGCAAATTTGCAAACTCGCTAGCAAATTGGCTAACTGCTTTGGTTTTGACTAAAAGGTTGGCTTACGAATCTCGCCAGCGCTGCCTTGCGGTCACGCCCACTTAAGACGAATCTATGTAACAGTATAGGACGATCATCATAGTTTAGGAGCTAATCAGCGACAGTCTTACAGTTGGATGGCGATTTCGCTTTCAGATATACCAGGGAAAGTGTTCTATGCTCTTTGTGTCCACACAAAAACGACGAATGAGGTCGATTTTTTCAGCGGTTGGGTTAATGTTACCCCAACGGATCGTTTGAGTGTGAAAGTTCGTTATTTTTCAAGTTCTCTGATTTGTAGGAAACTGTTTCTCAACTTGTTTATTTAGTTTCAAGCAGTGTTCAAGAAGGCTAACCTCATATAATAAATATCGATGGATTAATCACATTTATAATATTATCACGCCAGCTGACTGTGGCCATTTTTGAGCTATTTTCGGAAATCATTCAGGGGAATCCAGACATGTACCATGCTGAGGATGCGTAAAAACATTCTATGTCCCCTAATGCAATATAGACAAACCGGCGCCAGCGAGATTCGAAAGCCAACCTGTATAGTCAAAACCCAAGCTAGCGAGTTTGCAAATTGGCTGCCCCAATACTTCTGAGACTTGCTGTAAGTATTTTTTACATAAAATGTTCCTCAGTATGCCAACAAGTGTTACCAATATTAAACAGAATCAGCAGCACAACATGAAGAAAATGTTTTTGTAGGTCAAATACGGCTGCCAGTTGGCCATTAATAAACAAAAAAGTCTGGAGCATGAACTGAAAAAATGGGATGTGCCCAGTTGGGGCTAACAATTAGAAAACTTCAAAATTAAATGTAAAATTATTTTCAAATAACAATGAACACATTTATTTTGTTATAAGGTGATAAAATGAATCATAAATGTACATGCAGGGGATTTTAGAGGATTTTTTATGTTAGTCTCACCTTGTTGATGCCATCACAGAAACGCTGGAATACACGTCTCATATTACCACTTTTTTCCATTGAAATGATACGAGTATGATCTTCTTCATTGACCCAAACCAGGAAATTCTTCTTGTCATTATGCCTGCAGTCAAACATGCATAGAATATACATTACTAGTATATGGAGTTAATGTGAGGATAAGCCAAAGTATCAACAAAGACAGTAAATCGGATATCGGCCGATGGGTTGGGGAGGTCATGCTTGTGATAACCCTAATATTATACATCTTTGCAAATATAGGATATAGGAAGCCCAAAACTGAGCAAAATGATGAAAGTTGTTGGACTTTTTTCACTATGATTCATATTTGGAATGCGATTGGATGCAGATACCCCATGCAATACCACACCATTATGACATGCTTATGGTAACTTATGGTTTTACAAGTAACAGATGTATAATAATATGATACAAATGCAGAGCTACCAACTTTGGAAAATCAGAAGTAGTACTCAGCAACTATCATATTTTTTTAAATTGCAGTGTTTTACCTATATAAAGACCTGATCATGTGTTATCGCAGCGCTAATACAGGTGGGTTAACGTAAATCTTGTCTCAAAACAATACATCAAACTGTACGGGTTATTTGCATTGATTTAATAAATAAATGAAAAAGAAACAAGGAAATTTGAATTGTTGCAAAATTAAATTTTAAGATAATATCCAAACGATCATCAAAGTTACGACGTGACATAACCTACTTTGTGATGTTATACACAGATTTTACCATTAATTTCTCTTACTCAGTCATGATGCCATTCAAAAAATGTTACTTCTTTGTTTGATATGAAATAAAAGTAAAATTTTATCGGGAGCGGTTATTTTTGATCACTCAATCGCTTCGGTAAAAAACGTTGTCCTGCCACGATGTTTGTGACGCATTGGTTGACCGACATGTGTCCTTTGACCAGATGGATCAAGAATGCCATTAACCAATCAGAATGCTGAATGGTATTGCAGGTAGAACCAGAATTTTTCTGAATGGTAGTGATCATAGTAAGGAAAGCGATGTCATAGTAAGATGTGTTGGCATTGATTTCAGTTGAAAACTGCATGATGGTTTTCGAAAGAGGTGATTAGCAATTTTTAAAAGGCAAATAAACATACTTTTTACCTGACCTGACAGGTCAAATCGATAATTAACCAATGAAAATGATGGATGATGCCAACGTGTTCACATTTAAATATGTTAATGTTATTGAACCCAGAGATTTTTAAGAGATTTGCCGATGTTGTTGTATGATCATCTTTTGGCTTGGATTTTGATGGGAAAATAAAAGATAAACTGAGAATTTAAAAAATAATTTAACATTATTTACAGCGATAACAACTCATTGTCAAAACGAAGCTAACCCATTCACGCTAGTCTGTAGTAGTCACAATAGACATCAATACTCTTGAATAGGCGTCAATGACTAAGGCGAAACTTTTAGGCATCAGAAAAGATTAAAATAACACCTTAAAAAACTGCCAAAAAATCGCCCTGGGCGGTTTCTTGGTCCCAATTAATTTTTTTAATAACCCGAACTGCCGTTTAACCTCTCTGGGCGAATTTACGGCAGAATTCAGTATTATAAATCATCTGAATTATCAAGCAAATATCTTAAAATCAAGATCAGAAACCTCTAATTTGTATAGCTTATTTAGTTATGAATAAAACAAGTCATTGAAAATGACACAGTCCTCGTTAAATTTTTGAAAGTTCTCTTTGTCTTGTCATATTAAAGCGGAGGAGTTGTCGCGTGTCCTTGAAATTCTGCCATCTTTGATCTGATTATGAAACACACTGATATGTATGATGTATGTGCCAAATATGAATGAAAATGGTACATAAATTGTGGAAATATAAGGCCAAAAAGTCAGATGGCTGTCAATCTGCCATCCTTGACCAGATTTTGAAACAAATTGTCATGGACATGCATCCTAACATGTATAAAGTACATGTATGTGCCAAATTTGAATGAAAACTGACAGAGCACGTCCAAGATACCGCATAAAAAAACCCAAAACAAGATGTCTGCCAGTCGACCATCTTTGATCCAATTGCGAAATAAATCGTCATGGACATGTATCCTAACATGTATAATCTATGTACCAAGTTTGAATGACAACTGACAAAGCATGTCCAAAATACAACATTTTCAAAAAATAAGATGGCTGCCAGTCGTCCATTTTGAATCAAATCGCTAAACCACTGTATGTGCATATGTCTCACATAAGGTACTAGGCACATGCAAAGAATGAACGGAATCAGTCCACAGGATTCTGAAATATGACTCTGGACAGACTGACGCACGGACGGACGGACACATGGAAGGACTGACAGACTCAGGAACTCACGAACAGTCGGGGACATGTATCCTAACATGTATGATCTATGTACTAAATTTGAATGAAAACTGACAAAGCATGTCCAAAATACAGCATTTTCAAAAAACAAGATGGCTGCCAGTCGGCTATCTTTGATCCAATTGTGAAATAAATCGTCATGGACATGTATCCTAACATGTATAATCTATGTACCAAGTTTGAATAAAAACTGACAAGCATGTCCAAAATACAACATTTTCAAAAAACAAGATGGCTGCCAGTCGGCCATTTTGAATCGAATCGCTAAACCACTGCATGTGCATATGTCCCACATAAAGTACTAGGCACATGCAAAGAATGAACAGAATCGGTCCAAGGGATTCTGAGATACGACTACGGACGGACGCACGGACGGACGGAGATCGAATTACAAGTCCCTGTTTTCGGACTTCGTCCAAACGGGGACTAATAAAAAAGGTAGAATATATTAAAAGAAGAGTTAAAGGACAGTATCGCTATTATGAAAATTTGAATTGTTATCTTATCAAAAATTACAAATAATTTCGGTATCATTTGGCTAAATCGTACCTCGGTACCATTGTACTTTTTTGATAGACTGATTTTCTTGGCCTTGGTGCCCTTCAAAAAATACTGATTTTCCCTATGCTATTCCTATACGACAAAACAATTTTTAAATATGTTGAAAATACCTTGAAATTGTTTTTTTTTATAAATTTAAGCCCTGGGGTTGAGTTCCCCCATTTAAAACTGTTTGCACTTTACATTTTTTGTTTTGGAATACTGAAATACAATGTTAAAATTAATTTGTAATATCTAACTTTAAAAACTATTTGATGAGCAATATTTGGGGAATGAAATCAATGTAAGTGGGTTTGAAATGATGCATGTAACATTTTTGCAACAATAAATGACTGCAGTCACACTCACCAGATACCACGACCATCAGGCCAATCACGTGCCATACCAGCACATGTCAATAATGGAGATACTGGTTTATCAAATAAGAAGTGATCATCAATAAGTTGTTGTTGTTGCTGCTCAGTCATGTTACCAAGTGGATAATATTGTCCCTTGAATTCACCACTGAGACTGTTCAATGCATCAGTAGAAACCTTAAATGCAAAGTTTTGATTTAATGCAGAACAAGAACTATACATACATGTATATATCAAATATTATACCATAGTCAAGACCAGCAAATTTGATACTGTCATCACTAACCATGATTTTTAACTATTATATAGATTCTCATAAACCGCACGTAGGCACATACAAATGTACAATGTTGTATTCAAAAATGAATTTAAAAAAAAGAAAAAATAAGTGCTCAATAATTAAATCGGCATCGAATAAAAGGATTCATTCTGTGAGCTAAGTAAAGTTGGCCATTGAGGGCACTATTTAATCTGTAATATTTTTGATTATTCCTACTGACTTTTTTTGATAATGCAGATATGTATTTAAACCATTTTCAGTAATTTAACTTATTAGCTATTATGAAATTTGACAAAAAGGGCGCACAATGAGTGACTAGAAGTAATTTGCATATTTCCCATGAAACTTAGCACTGAGAAATCATTTTGGGTTAGTAACATCATTGGATTCGTCTGAAGAGCATCTCGTCCTTTCCCCTCTCTGACCACTGAACCATTCAGCCCGGATTTGGTTTGCGAGTCCAGCTCATTTCAACTGTGTAGAAAGTGTTAACTCCTTACAAGCCAAACTGTGCGGAGTTTGTTAGATTTGATCAACTGACGGATTTTTAAGTTCCTGTAATTTACAGTGTCGCTCTCCAGTGTAATCTTGGTAAATAAACTCAGTACGGGAATTTGTTGTACCAGCTAATTATACCTCTGTCGTCCATACTTATTTATCCCTTGGTCACAATTCAATAACAGTAAATTTCAATATTGAAATCAGACTATTTTTTGAACACATCATTGTCTGCTCTTTATTGTGTTCGATTGACATTACATGCAAGATTTGTTCTCACATATAATATTCCGAAAAGAAATCAAAACTAATAATGAAAAATTTCAATTTATAATGAAAATAAGAGACAAAACCTCAATTAAGCATGTTGCACAATTTATCTTCATGGCATTCCAACATTGCACAAAAAACATGTGATTTGAACTTATTATATTTTATTTACTTTTTTAAATTCTTCTTACTAACTTGTTTTATTTTATTTTTCTGTATTGATTAATGCAATATATTGCTATATATTGAAAGAAATGTATATTTCTAAAGATGCAATAAACAATTATTACTATTATTGAGACATTCAATCCAGTATGCACACTTTAAGTTCTGTGACTGGGTCCCCTGATCATTTTATTATGTTCAAAGGGGTTGATTTTCCAAGCAAATGTGAGAAAATGTGCCTGTATGAGAATAAATTTCAAGAATGATGATTTAAATTACTAGTATGCAGATTCTAGAGCCTTGATATTGAAACTATACTGTGGACATATTTTCTGCTTATAATAGCAGCAAAGTCACTGGTATTATGCTACAAAACAAAAACAATGCCAACCCAGAATAGATTAAAAAGCACACCTTGTGCAACACATATCGGCTTGGCTATGGTCTTAAAACAATTGCATGATCATTGAACATTTCGGAAGAGAATGCTAATGTACCAAAAGTGCTCCATTTTCAAACTAGTTTCCTTTCATATTTCCCTTCACATATGCAGATGTTATCTGAAGAGCTTGCTTGCTCTTACAACAAAACATCAAAACGAAGGTATTAAAAGTGAAATTTGATCTGGAGCAAAGCAATATTAATTTAGTAACAGGAAAACGAACAACATGATTGTGGTTATAACTAATGATAAATTTACTCACTTTTTCTACTTCCCGACGTTCAGCACGATTACATGCAGGCGGCAAGCTTAATCCACGGATACAACGACCAGTACGTACTCTTGATGACAACACATATTTCTCATCAAACATTCCACCCCTGATTTTAGAAGCATCCATGTCAGTTGGGTGGATAGCATGTTTTGGATATCCATTAAAACGCTCATCAATTATTGGATCAAACAGATCAGCAAATACCTGTAAAACAATTCACCTAACATTAAAGCACTACAGCTGACATGCAGCACAGGTTCGAATTCCATGTAAACAAACAACGTATTTTACACACGTTGTATGTGTATGAGTCCCATATCGAACACAACACGATGCTGCGACTGCGCAGTGCTTTAAATACTCTGTACAATTAGATTAATCATACTTGGTTTAGCACCCGCTGGTGTTAAAACTGCACATCATATTTTACACTTGTTTGTCTGAAATAAATCTGTTTATATACTGCATGGTTTTTTCTAGAGAAAAACTGCAAGAGGGAGCACTGCAATTCAGCGCCGCCACCAAGTGGGGGAGATAGGGTTCTCCTTACCAGGATAATTCTAAGTTATAATAGAGCATTCTATGGCTTCCTTGGGGCCAAAATTACTATCAGACAGGTCACAGGTGAAGACTGTGGCCACATGTGATCCCTTGTCTATCAGAATTTTATGGTTGCCAGAGGATCTGCTCCCCAGGGTAAGGTGGCGCATGGCCATGGCATGAGGGCAGTGTGCCCCTGTTCCCTTGTTTAAAAAAATCCCTGTACTGTACGTGGTTGTTTTAGCCAACCACTCATTAATTCACCTGGCAATAAGTGATTTTCCGTACAATTGCGAGATCTCGCGAGATGCATGAAAGAGGCGCGTCGAACGTCTGCCGCAAAAATCGAACGATTTGATTTTGAACTAGAATTTCTTTATTTCGTAGCTTACATTGACCGGCTGATCTTCGACAGAGGAATATTGCTTCCGAATACCCTTACTTAATCGAAATTGCCTATCATCAAATGTGGACAGCACATTATTGAGCATGGAAATGTCCCCGAAATACTTTCGCGTTTGTCGAAT